AGGAGCATCTTCACCATCCCTTCCCAAACCAAATTTTCCAGCCTTTCTTTTTCTGCTTTAAAAACGCTCGAACAGCAAATGCAAGCGGGAGCCATCCTCAACCTCACCACCACAAAGGAGCTGAGCCACGAGCAAACTGCCAGCAGACCCACCAATACACCACTGCAGATGGACCCTGACACAAGTAAACCGCTGCAGATGGAGCCACCCACAAGTGAAATGCTGCAAAGGAGCCCAGCCTGTGACTCAGCCCAGCTATCATGCCTGTGCCACTGCCATGCGGGGAGCAGCAGCCTATCACGTCTATGATTTCATCCTGAAAGATGTGCTGGTTTTTTGCTTGATGACAGCTGGGCCTCTTTGGTACCTGCTGACCTAGAACAAGCCTCTCGCTCTGTGCTGTAGGTGGCTCATTTGAAGTGCCTTATCGTTCAGTGAGTGGGCAGCGTGTCCCTTTATTTTCATCATGCCTCTGCTTTGCTGAGTCCCCATTTTCCCTATTTATAGATGCTCCAGGAAGCAATTCCGTTAAGCCTCACCTGCATCAGCATCTCCCCATGCAGTGCCCTAGTTATGGCACAAACTGGGGGCTCTCTAATTAGTATTTCTGCCTCTACTCAGACTCACAGTTTTGGGCCTGGCTTTATAAGGATGATCTCTGTGTAATTTCACGCATACCTTCTCCTGGCTATGGCTGTACCCAGTCTGTTCTGTCTCTGGAGCTTTCCATCTGCAATCACAACGCAGCACAACCCTAAGAAATGTTAGAATCATATCATAGAATCATAGAATGGCCTGGGTTGAAAAGGACCACTGTGATCATCTAGTTTCAGCCCCCCTGCTGTATGAAGGGTTGCCAACCACCAGACCGGGCTGCCCAGACCTGTTCTTCTATCTTGTCTGTCCTCTCCACTCTCCTGCCCACCACCACCTTAAAAGGACTCTGTTTATTTGTAATCTCTTCTGGTTTTGAGAGGGAGGCAGAAGATGATAGCTCTTCTCCTGCATGATCTAATAATAGAGAACTAATCCAGAAACACGACTTGGTCTTAGAAAACCTTCCACCCTTTATTATTTCTATGCATCACTTTGCATCTAGGGAAATTCTGAAATTCAGAGCAGAGGGATGAGGAAACGTCAATGACTCAAGAGGTTTAGGAGATCCTGTGTAGGATGAGTGCCACCAACCCTGCATCATAGGCAAGCTGAGCATTTGGCCCCATGGTCTTCTATGAGCTACTGAAGGGTCCAGGGACTGTTCCAGTACCTGGCCCAACACTGCCAGCTCTCCCAGCACAGCCCTGATCATTGGGAGGTTTGGTGTTTCTCTGAGTCAGAACAGTTTCTTGAGGACTTCAACCTCATCTGAGAAAAAGTTGGAAACCTGGTCTCCATGCAGTGAAGCAGAATCCAGAAGAGCTTCATTAGGAAGAACCAGTTATTGAAGCTGATTTCAATCTGGGGATCCTAGTAATGCTTTTTAGCTGGTGCTGTCTGGAATTACAGCTTGAATATTGGAGCCCTCTGGTTCAGGCAAAGGATAAGAGAGGCAATTTTTATGTCCTCGCACACCTAGTGATGTCCTGGGCAAGAGGGGAGGAAAGCAGCCACCACAAACCCATGCAAAACAGTGGTAGACTCAGAAAGTCTGAATCCAAGAGAGCCCATGAGATTGTGTACCTCAGGGCACTGCAGTTCTCCTAGATCCCTGCATGCAGTGAAATGACTGCTCTGAAACGCTGCTGGGAGTGCAATCTGCTGTGCACAGCAGGTCAAGAGCAGAGCTTCCAAGGGCCCAGTGCTTGGCCATGGCCAGCAGTCCCTGAGCTCGTCCTGCTCCCAGCCTCTCCTGTCATCTGATGGTGTTTCCAGCATGCCCCCTGCAGCAGCTATAGCAATAAGGCTCACACCTATCCCTACGATGTACTTTCAGTGCATGGATAGTTTGTGAATTCTCTCTCTAGCTTACACCAGAGCCACCTGAGCTCCTTAACTCAGAGTATCGAGGCCTTTTCCAATCCACATCTATGGTTTCTTAGGAACCAGACCATTAGTGGGTTTCTTTCACATCACATTACCCCTCTCTTCCTCCATACCTTTGATAAAAAAGCTTCGCTGATGGAAATGATGTCAAAGCCACAGCATCCCTGTATAAAGTTTTGATCTTGGTGAATCACAGTTATGCAGAAGAAAAGAAAAAAGAATGCTTTCAAAATCATTTTGATGAAATCACTTCTCCATGAGATGTGCCTGTGTCAGATGTTACAGCTTGGCACCTCGATAAGAGAGGGAGGAAACTCTGGAGTGTGGCTCAGCACGCTCATTTAGAATGGGACAAATGGCCACCTGAGGATGTGTGCTTTTGGGCACCATCTGTAGGCAGAGACACAGCTCCATTTTTCCTGCCCTCCGCTTGAGGATGGGAGGAAGGGGGGAAGGCAGGGATGGAAGATAAATATCTCTTGGTACCATGAGAAGGGGAAAAAGAATGAGCTCTCTGGCTAGCTTGGAGCTCAGCAGTGCTTACAGATGGACCTGAAAACCTGGAAAGAAGGTCTGTCTTTTGGCACAAATGTGGAGCTGTCAGCAAAGGGTAAGTGTGGATCTATGCAGTCGAATGCAGTCACATAAGTGAGCCTAAACACAGTGCCTGTCCACACTGCTGAAGGTGGTGGATGCCTTCACATTCACATTCATACTGCATCTTCAAGAGCAAGCTCTGCATTTCCAAGGGTCTGCAGGGTTCTGACTAACATGCAAAGGTGTGCAGCTCTGCACTCTGACATGTGGAGACCACTCTTCCCAGGACTTCCTACTCTTCATTTCTGACACACTCAGAGCCTGTCTGGCTTCTTGCCCCTCAAAGATGATTTTGTTTACTTGATTTCACTCATGGCATCAAGCACTTGAGCAAGAAATTAACTGTGACTTGCACAGCAAGAACAAGAGAGAGCAAGCATCACGATACATGGAAGAGTCAACAAGGCCCTGAGCCCAGCTCTGTAAATCCCACTGAACTGAGTGACATCTGAGTGTAAAACAGATCGAGGCACATCTGGAATTCTTCTATCTGCAAAGCATGAAGCAGAAGGGAAACTGCCCTCTTTGAGCTCTTCCTACCCTCATCTATGTCTGAGCTCACTGCCTGCCTCATCCAGCTTCCCACAGCTATTCCTGCTGTCCACCACATCCCCCTCCTTCAATAGCATGTCTTTCAAATGGCTTTCTAATGCCTGTAAACAGAGAAATTGGCATCTGGACAGCAGGAAATCTAGGAAATGAGCACAAGGGATTCTTCTGGGCTTATGGCCAATGTATAGTCCTATGAGCCACTGAAAAGCACAGCAGAGTCAAGCTCTAGAAAGCAAGAACAGTGTCACTGGGTTGGCATAAAGCGACTCAGAGTCCATGCAGGGTAAGTGACAGTAATGCACTTGTCTGCTCTCTGCTAACCACAGAAGCATTGAAGCCAAAGTACCTGTGATACCAATTTGGAGACAGACAAACTCAGATCTGAGTTCTGTTCAGGGCTGGTTTAGTTTTCATGGGGAAATGCCACAACACACAGCTGTTTTTATCACGTTCATTCTGACTTTTGCCACTTCCTTGGTGTCCTCATGGAGGTAGAGCTGTAGGCATCCATCCAAGCATTTTGAGGAGACTCCAAGGCTATGTCCAAACATAGAAGTTTCTTCAGCATCCAGCACAGCATCCAGCAAGCCTTCTGATTTTTCTATAGGCTTTGAAGTGGTGTTGATCCTGCAGCCAAGCCAGGCTGAGCTGTTCTCTGCTACTGTGCTTCAGTATCAGCTATAGAGTTGAACCCCTCAAGACTCATAAAGATGCTCTCAGGTGTTTTAGGACAGCTCCTGCCTCAGGCATGCAGTATCTCAGAAAATCCTTCAGCACTGGCATGAAGGGGACAAATCCAAGCAAGGATGGCAGAAAGCAGCCAGCAAGGTGCTGATTACTCACCTGTGTGTACACAAACTGGACATGCATGCAGGCAGAGGGACTGTCAGGGCTGTGTCAAGGCATTTGTGAATCCCAGCACAGGATACTGAATTCTGTTCTGCTGATACTGCTTCACCTTTTGGGCTGAGCAATGCATTTGAACAGAAACCTGCCTCACTTAACTGCAGAAATCAGTGCTTGTGTTGGTCATGGAGTTATAAGGGTATCAGGCAGCTCTACTGGGATCCCAGTTTCATGCTGCCACACAGCCACCCTGCCTCCCTCCTTCCCATGGTTGCCTTCTCCTCCTCCTCGCCATCAGCATACAGTCAGGCTCATACTAAGCTGTGGCCCTGCTGTTATCCTTCTCTCCTTCCCTCCTCCATGCATAGCTCTTCTGTGATGCTCAACACCAATCCCAATGCTGCAAACCTCACTGATGCCCAGGAAGCCTGGAGACCCTCAGCCTCACTTGCACAAATATTCCTCTATCACATGTTCCCAGGGCCTTGGGTACACCTGGAACAACGTTCTTTCTCTTCTCTGGGCAGTGCCTGAGCACGAGGTCCTCCCATTTAGCACTGCATGCCACCTGTCTGTGACAGACTGATCTTGCATGCGTAGACATCAATACTTTGAGGGCCCTATCTCACTTCTAGAGGTTATTCCCCTCTATCTGCAACCTGGAGTCTTCAGCTCCAGCTAAAAAGTCCTACTATTCTGAGCATCTTGAAATATGAATGGCGTTAGGGGAGCATATGGGACAGCTCGAAGGGAAGCAGGAGCATCAGGAGAGAGAGCTTTGTGCAAACAAACCCTTCGTTGGCACCAATTAAAGCTTGCATAACTGTGCCGAGTATGTCTTATTTATTACTGTCATGTTAAATGCTGAGCTAGCTTTCAGATTGGGTATTACTCAACACCCTTTTAATTTTTCAGCTTTTTAGCCGTGCTTTGTCCCTTGCAGATGACAACCACTTAGGAAAAAGAAATCTTTATTTTATATTTTTTTTTTATACTTGTACACAAGTAAAATAAAATGCATATCTATATATACTGCAATCTTGTGAAGGAAAAGGTAGCATTCTTTAACAAATGCTGCCCGTAAACATGGTGTGATGGAATGGATACGGAAAAAACTGCAATATTCATAAACATAGGATTAAAACAGCATCAAATTCATTACCTCTGCAAATGGGAAACTGCAATACTGTTCAGTGTGATGTCAAGTTACAAACAGATTTCAGACATTCTTTTCAGACCATTTCTTACACTTTTTTTTTTTTTTTTTCCTGTAAATAAACCATATTTCTTTCTCATCTGCTGTAGCAAAACCTGCTTTGTGAGTAAGTGCAGTTCCGAAGACCAAAGGTATAATTCACAGGTATCAGGACAAATAAATTATGTACATCTTTTTGTTTGTCTTTTTTGTTTGCTTTTGTTTTGTGTTGTTTTTTTTTGTTTGTGTGTGTGTGTTTTGTTTTTATATAAAGGCATCCAGTTAACTTTTGTGTAACAAAGCTTTCTCGGGGCGGATGGTAGTTTGCTTTTGTTTGCAACATTTATGGAGGTCAGCAAAAGTCTAGTATTAAAGTGTCATCAACCCAGGAAAAAGAGTTAATTTTAGCAGAGTAACAGTAAGCTCCACACCAAAGGGGGGATCAAAAGGCTTAGGCTGAGCTGTAACGTGGAGCTGTTTCCTTGCTGGGTGAGGCGGCACTGGGCCTTTGATTTGTTCTTTTTAGAGCAGCCCTGCCTCTTTTTGGTTGGGACTGTGGAAGGTTCAATAGGCTCTAGAAACTCTGGTCTCAACTTGGTCAATGGAGGGTCTACAATGCTGGGGAAGGTCCCAAAAGGGGAATCGTTTATCTGCTTGTTGCTGCCGTTTTTGGAAGGGTCCGTCTCAACGTACTTGGTTTTGGACATGTTCTCCTTATCCTTGAGAGGGTTGTTGGAGGACGGCCGGCTGCTGTGGGAAGAAGGACCTGCCTTGCCTTTAGCTTCGTATATAAAAGATTTATCCATTTCTGACTGGCAGCACTTCATGGAGCCATCATGGGAGCTGAGAGGTGGACTCCCGGTGGCCAGTTTACCAGATCTGGTCTTAGTGCTAAAAACGCTCGTTCGAATCTGGTTGAAAGAGTCGATGCATCCTTCCAAGTCAGAGCTCTGCAGCCTTTTGAGGTCTCTCCCTGCCAAGCGTGGTGGAAGGTGGCACTCCAGCTCTGAAGATGACCCTTTAAACTGCTTAAACCAATTCCAGAGAGACCGAGCCTGGCAGTCACAGATCCATTGGTTGCCATTTAAGCGCAGATACTGGAGGGACACCAGGGGTGCCATGGTTTCCCCTGTGAGCACGGTCAGGTTGTTGTTAAACAGATACAAGGTCATCACTTTCCCAAGGTCGTGAAAAGACCGGTGGTGGACCAGGCTGACTCTGTTCTGGTGCAGAAGCAACCGGTCGAGGTTGATTAACCCACGAAAGACGTTCTCTGATAAGCTCTTGATTTTGTTACCGTGCAAAAACAGGTAGGTGAGGTTCGCCAGATCTATGAAGGTGTCATCCAGCAGGTTCTGCAGGTTATTATCCTGAAGGTAGAGATACTGCAAGGAAAACAACCCTCGAAAAAGCCCCGTGGAGAGCTCCATGAGCCCACAACGATCCAGATGTAAGGTGTGGAGGTGAACAAGACCACGGAAAGTGACGGGATTGATAGACTTCAGGTTCGTGTTGTCACTGAGATCCAACTCCTCCAGTTTGTTGAGTCCGTAGAAGGCTCCAGGCTCAATGAGGCTGATGTTGTTGGAGTGGATCCAAAGAATTGTCATGTTGCGACACGACGTGAAGCTGGTGGACCTCACAAGGGTTATCTTGTTGTTGTGCAAGAAGATGCGCTGGCTCTGGATGGGTATCTCCGTGGGGATTGCTGTCAGTCCTTGCTGCTGACAACTTATTGTGATCTTCGGTTCACTGTAGCACACACACGCTCCAGGGCAAGACTCCACTTCTGACTGGATGTTCAAGCAAAGCACCAAAATCAGCAGTTTGCTTCCTAAAGGACAACAGAAATAGTATGAAAATTAGCCAGGATCGCAGGAGAGCGCTTTTCTTTGTAACTAACAGATAAGCCTGAAAATCACCCTTCTCCGCACGCTGCCATTAACCACAAACAACATGTGCCAGGGGAGCCAAACAATTAAAATGAAGAATTAAAAATCTTCTACCGCTCAAGGCAACAGTTAAAAACAGTACACAGTCATAGTGAGAAATCCTGAGCACCTCCTCAGCCATTCACATCTGGGAGGCATCTGACTTTGGTCAGAGAACTAAGCCATCTTCACTGCGTATTTGCACCATCAGTCCTGGAAACACAGCTAATGGAAAGTTGATTCCAAGGTGCTTACCTGCAGCTGTCTCCCTGTGGCTATTTATCTGTCACAGGAACATTTAGGACAATTCAGCCTGTGGGAAGGTACCTGCCTGGGTTACACTATGCCACTCTGTGTCCCATCCACTGCTGCTATCTCCTTGGTTTCCTGCACTCAAAATGCAAGATTTTGTGACTTTCCATGAACAATTTCTGATTGATCCAGTCTTCCTGCAAGACATAACTGCAGGGGATTCTCAGAATAACTTACAGGTCAGAATTGCCTGTAGAAGCCTCAGAGCCAAGAGTGCCCTTTCCTTCTCCTTCAACACCAGTCAGACCTTTGCACCACACACTCTTGCTTCCCTTCCTCTCTCCTATCTCCCGCCTGAAACTCTGGCATTGATGAAGAGGTGAAAAGAGCATGCTTTCCAGAGGGCAGTTCTCTTCCTGGAGGAAATCCTATGTGAGGCTTGATTCAGGGATTCCTCAGAGCTTGCAAGGCAGAAGTAGGTTTCCTCATCCCAAGAACTGCAGGCAGCCCACTTGGGTTGAAGAGCCCTTGAGAAGAATGTTTTCCCATGGTGATGACCCCCTGCCTTCTCAGGAGCCGGGCTGAATGGGCCCTCAAATCACAATGAAGTATTTTGACTTTTGATTCACTGCGCTTGGGAGGGGCGTGGAAGATGGGCAGAGATGGGCAGAAGCCATGCAGCTAACATCAGCTTCTGAGAGGGGACCTGAGAAACAGTCACTGTGAACAGGGACAGTTTCAGCAATACTTTACCATTACAATTGAAAGCGAGTAATTAGATTGCTTTCTCTAAACCACGTGCTGAAGCTAAAACGAATGGGCAGCAACCATAGCAGTGGGAAGCTCCACTTGTGCAATACCACGTGCAAGCAGGGACACGTGTGCCTCCTTCCCAGCTCATCACAACACCTCTGGCAAAGGGATGCTCTCCTCCCCCTCGCTGGGGAGTCCCAGCCTAGGCACACACCACAGCTGTGGGAGGCTTTCTCTTCCTTGAAAGGCTGCACACGATGTTCAGGCATTTTGATGCCTCATTACACTTAAAGGTAGAATACCAGAGTTCACAAAGTCAGGAAAAAGAGAACAAACAGCTATCAAAGAAGGCAGGATGGTGGTCGCTTCTTTTGTCACGAAAGTCTGGTATCCTGAGTTTGCATCTAGTCAAAATAATTCACCACGTGCAGCTAATCAATCTGTGCTGATTCAAGAGTCTAACATAGACAGGAGACTCCTATACATCACGCTTAACATGGGAGGAAAATAACAGATCAGCATGCAGAGACAATTTGAGCCTGATATTATTAGCTGCTGAGCATCCCTGGAAGGCAGTGTGTTGAGTGCAGTATTATGACACATTCTGGCTGGCTTGTCATGTTTTGACATATCACGTCCCATTGTAGGGAGCAAAGTAACACGAGACAACTGAAATCCCCTGCTGTAGACATGTCACACCAAGAGGAACCTCCTGGGAAATTAGAACAATGCCAGCATCCCTGTGACCAACCCAATTCCTCTCCAGCTGATAATGAAATGTTGTAGCAAAGGAATAAGCATTTCTGGAATCTCTTCCATGATCCAGGACTGGGGTGACAGGTAGTATGGCAGCCACATCACACTGCTGCAGAGTCCCCAGCAATTCCCATCTAGTAATAGCACTGGGGCTGCAGCCTACTCAGGGAATATCCAACCACAACCCAAATGCATCCCCCACACCTTATAGATGTGTGCCACGTTCACAGTAGAATGAATGCAAAGCACAGGTCCTGTGGGAGAAGTATCACAATGACAACACTTCTGTTGCAGCCTCAGACAGAAGAGGGAAGCCCATAATAAATATATGTATACATGGAGAGAGAAAGAGAGAACATGAAGCAGCCAGCAGAAAACAAGCCATGCATATGAATACCACCCTGCCCTGTGCTAACCCCTCTGGACAACAGGGCTCTCCTCTGCCTCCAGTCAATCAAGATGTGTTACAGCTTCTCCCAGCACATCGGAGCAGAAGTTAGGAACAAATCCTGCTCCACTCCTTTCCCCTCCCATTGCTGCTGCTGCTGCAGCTGCCAGGAGCTGTGAGTCAGTGGCACTGATAGTTGGCTGCCAGTAGAGCAGCATAGGGAAATTAATTACAGGCAGGGCTACCCTGTGCTCTTTAATTAGGGACCTGGTGTTCATGAGCTGCTCGGATTTGCTTTTTCCATCAGAGACTGTTGCTGTCAATCATCCCCCATAGCTTTTCTCCAGACTTCCTCCCACTGCGCAGCTCAGTCCTGGCTGAGCTCAGCACCCAGCAGGCACCAGCATCCAGCCAGTGCAGTGCTTGGAGAAACCATAGGACCACAAGACAGTGTTGGGGAGTCACACTGATGCTGCATCCCCCTTCTTCCCAGTCCCATGGCAGAGATTGTGTCCTGCCCTGCCCTTGCTCCTCTGAGGAATTTCTCTATCACTGGTGTTCAGAGTAGGACCAGCTTGTGCTCGCTGTGTCCCAGCTGTAGAATCCACCAAGTGCTATGGGGCACCCAAACCTCGCATCACGATAGTTTCACCTATGTAACCCCAGACAAACATTACCTGGCTCTGTCAGTCCAGGAGCTAAGCGACAGTTTTAGGGATGAGCACAAGACACGGTCGTGGCACAGGAAGGTTCCTAACATTTGACATTGGTGCATGTTAAAGCAACCACACAGAATAAGACCAAAATAGGCCAGATGTAACACTGCTGGGGCCCCAGTCCATTTGCTGGAAACACGTCCCTGTTCTGGGGCCCAATGGCATAACACAAGTCATAGAATCACAGAATATCCCAAGTTTGAAGGAACCCCCAGGGATCATGGAGTCCCACCCCTGGTCCCATACAGCATGACCCAATCCCTATAGCTGAGAGTGGTGTCCCAATGCTCCCTGAGCTCCAGCAGCTCAGGGCCATTCCCACAGCCCTGGGGACCTTTTCCTAACCCCACCTGACACAATTCCATGCTATTCTCTTGGGCCCTGTCAATGTCACCAGAGGGCAGAGCTTGGTGCTGACCCTCCACTCCCTCTGCTACGGGTTGAACAAACCAAGGACCCTTACCCCAACCCTAATCCTAACCCTAACCCATCTTGCCTTGCCCTCAGCCCTTTCCGTCGCCACATAGATAAACAGCCATTCCTACCTACCCCTACCAAACACGATTAAAACTTAATTGAATAGTCCCAGTCAAAAGCAGAAGATGAAAGAAAATCCAGCACCTGGAACCTTCAGTCTCTCCAAGAGTTTGGCTTTGAGTTTAGCATTTGTTCCTCCAGAGCTTTCTTAAAAGCCAGGATCCTCCTTCAGTCAAACTGCCTCGTTTCCCCTTTGCCATCTCAGAAGTGTTATGACTCACGGAACTGGGAAGCAATTAAAGTGGGTCCATTATCTGTCTTTCCGCCAGTCCCCTGTGCGAACTGCATTGTCAAACACGGCAATTAGAAAGAAAAGGCTCTGGGGGCCTCTAATAGATGCTTTGCAAACTTTTTAAGAGGCCAAAGCAAAATGCAATTTTCTGCAGTTTGCAGAGCCGTGGCCTTTCTCTGCCGCTCTGCTCTTGTCTCTATTGATTTGGAGATATTATAATGCGGCTTTCCTACAGCTGAGGGTCAATAATCATTTGAATTCTCTCCTGGTCGGGCATAAAGGGAGTGCTTTACAATACAAAGCCTTTTGCTGATGCACACAGCATTTTTCCTTTGTTTATAGCACAGAAACACCATAGCTGCTAAGTTCCCTATTCTGAACTGCTATTGTTTGAAATTCAGCACAACTCTGACAGATACTCTGCAAAGCAGCTTCAGTGTCTTCTGCTTTGTCCCGTGGACTTGTTGAACTTTAGCAGAACAGGCGCACCAAAAGGAGGAGGGCAGCACTTACATACATCTCTAGCTGGAAGTGAATTAAGAATTGAACGAGGAACGAAAATTGGTTTGGATGAGCATCTCCCCAGGCTGCAGCTCTTCTGCTGCCTCGCCCCTCTGATGCAGAGGCTCATAACCTTTGTGATGGTGCAGCTGAGCGGCTTTAGGGTGAGAAGGAGGGGAAATAGGAGTCAGCGCTTAAGCACCAGGGTGTGTTACAGCTCTGGGAAAGCAAGGGCTTGGAGCAGTACTGGCTGAGCAGCTCCCATCTGGCACACACCCTCGGGCAGACTCCTGGCAGACAGCTGCAGCAGGAGATTTTGGGGCTGATACACATCTGCAGATCCATGGAGATGTCGGGCTGTCAGATCCTGTGGAGGCAAACCCTCCACGGGGTCACTTGAGCTCCACGTCTGTCACAAAGGGCTCCATTCCTCTGCAGGCTCAGCTGAACAAGTGTGCTCAATTTCCACAGCCTGCTGCAGGAGTTCAGCATCCCAGCTCACAGCAAAGACATCAATCTTTTTCCGGTGCTGAATCACAGCTGTCTAAAAATAGGTGGCTAATTCCCTCGTAGATGCTCTTGGGGGTACAAGGTGCCAATGTGAGTGCTCCTCTGGGAGACCAGCGCTCAGCAGCTGTTGTGTGTCATCAGTGGCACATGGGAGCAATGTACAGGCACCAGCATCCCATCCCTAACTACTACAGTCTCTGCTCCCACATGCTCTGGGACTGCATGCATATCCATTAACTTTTGGGACTGCGCTGCTCT